CAGCATTTATTCAAAAGAAATAAAAATACTGCTAGCTCAGAAGGCAGTGCTGCCTGCACACTACTGCCTGCACACAAGCTGCAAATCACAGTGTAACACAGAATATTATTAACAGCAACCCACAGCAAGACATGAATTCACAGCTAAATCCTGCATGGATATCTGCTCCAGTACCACCATCCCTTTGTGTTTAGGCACTTATTACCCTGTGGCTCTCACACCTCTGAGCAGCAGGAGAGGAGTGGGTGGTATTTGCCTCCCTTCTGCCGCCGAGTTTTATTCCAGCCCCTGCAAGCCCAAGCTGGAAACCCACAAGAGGGCAGTCGGGCTTGCGTTTTCCCTTCCACTACATCGTTTTCCACCTTAGCATCCTGGGCAGGCTCACCATAAAGTCACTTCGTCTTCTGTGGCCACTTACGGCTAACTTCTTGGGGAGAGCAAACCAGGGGAAAAGAGCCCCCCAGCCATTACCATGTGCCACCACATATACAGATAACAGAAAGACTTTACTGAAGATGAAAAAGTTACTTATTAACTGTAACCCCTGGGATGTCTGTGGCAGGTGGGACAGTCTGGTTTAGAGCCAGCAGGCCCCTAGATCACATGGCTGATCATTCTGATGTTGGTAGGACCAGGGTGTCCTCAAAGTTTATGCTAGGTTTTTGAAGAGTGAAGGTTCTTCTCTTTTTTATTTATACAGAAAGTCCAAAGCAACCATATTAAAAATAGATATAAAAGATTAGACAAAATTAAATGTCTCCTTCTGAGCTCAAAAGAAACATGACACCATTACCAGTGTTAACTCAGCTTTAAGACCTCAGACACTACCACAACTTTAATTCAGACCTAGATACTGTCGTGATACTATCATCAGTATTATACAGTTGTATCTTTAACACCTCTTGAAATGCCCTTATCTCCTGTTTTTATCTCCCTCACTTTTTACCTCTCCAAAACAAGGACAACACAGTGCTGCTTTCCCCTTCTGCACAGCACAGCCTGCAGGTATGGAAGCTTTCCATCTGTTCTGCTCTCTGGTTCTTCCACCCATCCCTTCTCTGGTCTCCCTCCTGCCTGTTCACCTTCTCTCCTCCTTTCCTCCTCACCCTCTTGTGCATCTCTCAGAACACCATCTTCCCTCCTGTGCAAACATCTTCACCCCCTTGTCTCTCCCAGCATGGTGCCATCTCCCCTCACCTCCACATTCTCTGCACTTTCACTATATGGAGCTTTGTTTCCTCCAAATCCACTGAAGATCCTTCCCAATTTGGCTGTTTTGTGGCTCAGATACCTTCTACAACCAGTCAAAGCAAAAACTTTTGTCTTTTCTCTAAAAGAAGATACAATGTTGGGAAAGCCAGTCTACATAAGCCAATCAAAAGCAACTGAAAGGCAGCAAAAAAAGGTTTCTCCTCTGCATTTGACCCTACAGAAGACAGATTTACAAAATCCTGTTGATAACTCTGTCTCATACCAAGAAACATTAGAAAACAGCAGCCAGAGACACAACCCTTTGTTTATGCAGGAACTCGAGGCTCTCCAGCCTGCCCAAGGTCCTCACCTCACAGCAGAGGGGACATATGTAAAACCTCTCTTTTTCAGCTGAGGGACACCAAAACCTCTGCTATTGAAGATGACGTTTCTCTGGCTACCACAGGCTCAGCAAGCATCCTGCCCTCCCCGCTGGCCACCCACTAGAGGGAAGCAACTCACACAAGTTCCTCTCCTGCAGCACCAACGTCCCTACAGGAGCTGGATCCTTCACAAGATCACAGAATCATCAAGGTTGAAGACACTTTCGAGATCACCAAGTCCAACCATCTGCCCTACAACCCCTAACCACTAAACCACCTCCTGAAATGCCACATCCACCCGTTTTTTGAACACCTCCAGGGTCAGTGCCTCCACCACCTCCCCAGGCAGCCTGTTCCAAGGCAGGAATCCCAGCTTTGCTGGGGCAGCTGGATAGAACCTGCCAGGAAGGAGGGCTTGAACCACAGGGCTAAGAGCAGAGGTTGACTTTGGGGCAGCAGAAAAAGACCCCTTACAAAAGTGACTCCTTTTGCCAGGGAAGGGCAAGTGTGCTGTGCTCGGATTTGGCACTGGAGCCCATGCTCCCATTTTACTGGCTCTCATTCCATCTCTTTCCTTTCTTTGCACTGTCTCTATGGCAGGCCCATGCAAGGATCTTCATCACACAGACCCTGCCTCCCCACAGAGTTCTAGAAGCAAGTGCAGGACAGAGACACCAGGGATGTGCAGAACAGGGGGACATAAGGAAAGGTAAACAAGAGCCCTGGTTTGCCATTGCAGGACAAGTTTGGGGAATTGAAACCCCTTCCTTCCTGGTAATCCTTTCTTTATTGGATAGTAGAAAGTGTTTCTTGTTTCTTCAACCAAAACACACAAAAGAATTTCAGTGGTAGGGAGAGTCATACAGGAAAATTAAGTCTCTCCTAGGATGCAGTGCTCACAGCCCAGCCAGCAGCTCCAGGACCTCAGCCTTGCTTTGCTGGCTCTGCCCGGTGTTCAGCCACAGCCACCACTTCCCTCTGGCTCACCTGCACCACCCCAGCTCCTCCACGTGGGCCTGAGATCCAAGATTTGCTCTGTGCTTGCCAAGGCAGTCCCTGCACACAGCTGCTAGGTTAACTCTGCTTTGGCTGATATGCCAGATACTGAAACAATACAGTAAGAGTTCAGAAAAATCCTATCTTTCCATTTCAGCTGGCTCCTTTACCCTAGCTATGTCTCAGAAGCAGAAAAGAGCAGCAACTAAAATGTACCCGACATGTGAAGGTCCTGCTAGTAATGGGGAAGGTCAGCAATAGCACAAGGAGTGCTAATCCACCCAGCAAGGCTGCCAGGGACAGAAGTGACAGCTCCAGCAGCAAATCAGATGACCCATGCAGGTAAAAATCTTTCATTCACAAGCCTTTTGTTGTGATTAAGTTAAAAAGTTCTACCTACCTGCTAGGACTCTCAAGGCCTTCCACCAAGTTTTGATGTTTACTGGATAACTGAAGGAAGCTCATTGAGGCCAAGTGGGTTGAGTTGCAGAAGTTAAATCTGCATTGGACCAGGAAAATGCATCCTTCATAAGTCTGCAGTTGTCAGGTGGCCTCTATGGGAACAGCCATTAACTAGATCATTTCCCCTTAAAAAGTTAAAAAGCTAGAAGAGGGGGAGAAACCTTCACTGTTTGCCAAGATCCACAAGTACACAGACCCCAGGCAATGCTCTTCTGGAAACAGCAGAAGTAAGATACATGAAGTTACTGCAAACTGTCCTTAACTCACCTGATTTCTGTCAAAGAAGGCAAATCCTCTTCAGATGCATCTTCTCTTACCTAGGTGAAGACATGCATGAAATTTAGACAGCTAGTTCCGTTTGGGCAAAAGCAAAGCAGGGATCAAAGCTGCCTTGTAGCAAGCATCTGATTTCAGCCTTAGCACTGTGTTTTTAACCTAAAAGACAAATCACCTAGCTGTGCACAACTTACTTCTTAAAATTTAAACCCAGGTTTGTAGGACATTTGAGAGCTAAGATGGATTGAACAGCAATTGTCAGAACTGAGAGACAGGATTTCTACAAAAAAACCCAACATAACACAAACGTCAAAGAGCAATTTTATTTAGCTTATTTGGCACAAAACTTACAAGAACCATTTTGTTCCCTTCTTAAATGCGGTACAACTATCAAGGGAAAAAGAAAAAGGCATACTAATACATTTAATAGGCTGTACAGCAAGTGAAATGTGGAAAGAGGCACCAGAAAGATCTACCAAAAATCAAAGTGCATGAAAAATACCTACTCTGAGTGCCTCATGGTATTGTAATAAGGCACCACTCCTTTAGAAGGTTTACTGAATACATGAAGTGTGCAACCTCTTGGTTTGGAATGTAAGAGTCCTTCAGCCTGTATTGGAGCTGGCTCCCACAACCTGCCACAACACTCTTCCTTGTAAAAATGTTAAATGCAGAGGCCTCTTTCACCTCAACATCATCTCTCAGCCAGGAGTGTCACAGTCGTATGCTTGGAAAAAGCCAACTGAGGTTATCAGAGTGACCAGCATTTTACTTCAGAGTTTTAAGCTGTGGTGGACACCAGGCCTATGGATTCTTTACAATGGTTTTATAGAAAAGAAATGCTGCAGAGACAAAAGTAACATGGGACATTTCGTAGCTACGTTATTGATTATTTCTCAAAAGAACATGTAAAGACTTCCTGGAGTATCTCTTTAAAAAAATAATAATCAAAATCCGAGTAGTGTTATAATCCAGAATATTTTAGCAGAATATTACAAAGCTTCCTTTAGGACCAGCAATCAAGTCTGACAAATTCCAGAAGACTTCAGGAACTTCAAAGTATGTAAAGAAAGCCCAATATCAGACAGTGGCAGGTGTTTTTCAGAACTGGAAACATTTAATGCAAGTACCTGTAACCGCAAATCATGTTATAGGGGTGTGTATGCACACATACACACACTGAAATAGACACATACACACACTAAACATCATTACAAGAGCCAGTCACCTCTGTCCATTATGGATTCTGCACATTATGCACATTACTGGTCTTAAGTGCTACAGAAGTTGCACCAGGCTTTTTATTTCAGCATCTTCATTATAGCTATTATTTTAGGAACCAAACTGCCTAAGTTACAAGAAGAGGTACCACAGGCCAGATTCACATCTAGTGTAAACAGGTTCCAAACAACCAAATAGAAGTTGCATCTGCTTCTTACACCAGCTTTGACTTTGGTTTTGCAGCTCAGCTGGACCACAAGTCTTCTTTACTTGCAAAGAAGTTTGATAAGAAATCAATGCCCATATCAAAACTTGAGTGGGAACCAGTAAATGCAGAATATTGTTTCAAACCATTGTACAACACCTCTACTGTAGAGAGTTTCAAACATCTCAGGAGTTTGAGACTGCTTAACCTGAACTCTGGAAAAGTACATTTCTCTATGGACATGCAAAGGCATCTAAATATGAACCCTAAGCCTTACAATATTTCATTTTTTGTCCTCTTATGGTGTAGACCTCAAGAACACAACTGTGTCTCCCACCACAAAGCCAAAGCACCCTTGAGCATCACAAATTCTAAACAGCAAGGCCCAAAAAGAAGGGCATCTGGAAGTGATCTACACATTTCAGAGCATGGTGTTTCACAAGTCTCAGAACAGTTCAGTTCATACCTTCTGGATAACCTTCCCTATACCTTTGCCCCAGTACAGAGCTGTAGTTTTCAGTCACTCTTTTACCCCTGAATTATTTGCTACCACATATAAAACATGCCACAGAAGTGGCAGCCAGGGCTAAACATTTAAGAACATGTCCTTTTTGTCCTTTATTAACAATTACAATCATCAGAAAGAAAAACTATTCACTCAACTCATTTATTTCATGATTTATATGTAAGTCATGTAGCAACTCAACATTGGTGTTATACATTTGTGCTTCCGTTCTCTGGCACTTGGAGGAGGAATTCATTTCCAGATAATCACATCTTGCTGAAACATTCCTTTGCATTTGTCCAAACTTGAATTCCCTTAAAAAAAAGATAAAAATCAGTAGGTGGAAACACACTTTGCTTGCAAACCTCATGAACTGCCTGTCTTCCACAGAAGACTCTACAAAGTCATCCCAAAGAACTTCACACAAGAATAAGGCAGAGACCACACTGCCTATTTTATATATCTACATCTATCAACATTAACATGTCACTGAGCTACAGCAGGATGAAATATGTAGAATGTTTTATACTACTGACTTCCAGCCTTCTGTGACTGCAATGTTCCTAGTTATCATCCTAGCCAATGCCCCCTTCCTGGAGGTGTTCAAGGACAGGTTGGAAGAAGCTTTGTGCAGCCTGATCTAGTGTGGGGTGTCCCTGCTTATTGCAGGGAGGTTGGAACCTGATGATCTTTAAGGTCCCTTCCAACCTAAACCATTCTATGAGTCTATGATGAAAAGTTTGCATCTGATCCCTGGCCAATATGAGAAATACACTAGCCTGGCCTTTCACAAGCTGAACATACCTTTTTGCACATGCTAATCTGCATAACAGCATAGCTTATCAGTGCCTCCTTCAAATCGTGATTCTTTTGCTCTTTAAACCGTTCAATGTCAGCCCAGGCACTTTTCACAAAGTCTCTGGAATTAAAAACAATATTTCTGTTAGTAAGCATGTCACATGTTCCATCCTCAGCTCATCTTCCTTCTTCTGGACCCTCAGCAGGGAAGCTATGTATGACAAAGCACTCCATCTTTCTGTCTGTAAACCAAGTCTTGTAATTTTGATGCACCTCAGAGTGTCCTCATTTTATAACTGGCACTACTAACTAAACCTTCACCTTTTTCTTAAGGATTTTAAACTAGAGAATCAGCTTCACAGGATGCATTGAGTTGCTTGCTTTTTTCCCAGTAAGCAATAATGCCATAGAACCAGCATAATTCACAATATACTCTTTTCCTCAGATTCTGTTGGGGTAACTAAGCATCTTCATGCTAACATTCATCACACAATATTGCACATTTCTTTGTCAATTGTCAAGTCAGAATCTTGGTCTATCCAACTGAAAATTCACTTGTCATCAGGATTTGAGACACTCAAGTACAACAAACGTTTGCAGTGTAAATTTGACTTGGACTGTTCACTTCAGGAATTAATTGTGTTGGTTTGGTGATGTCTCTTCAGGTCTCCTTAACTAAAATGGAGGTAAATTTCTGTAATTCATAGCTTTCTTTCCTGCTGCACTATACATACAAGGCAAGTATTTGCTTGAAAATTGCTTCCAGAGCTACCAAAGCAGATCTCCAGCACTTCTGTCAAAATGATTAAGAAACTGCATTTACTGAGCAACTTGTTATTTTGAACTATTCATGAACTGGTCTTATCTTTCCAGCTCTAAGCCTAACATATTAGAAGATACCACATTTGCCCCTTGTGTTATAGGATGAACGTGTTCTGACACAATCACATCACTTCAGGAATGTTACTTCCCATTTTTCATGTTTGCATTCCTGAAGAAAATTTCATTAGAGCACTGAGAAGCAGCTACTCCAACACAATTCACCAGAACTTCTAATCTCTTTCAAACAAGAGCCACTTGTACCCCACACGAGAAGCCGCAGAACATTAGCTCAGGCTCCAAGCACATGAACCAAACTAAATGCTATATTTGAAGAAAATCAGCTTTTGAGTCTTAGGCTGCTCAGATGCAGCCTTACAAGCCCACCTGCTAAACATATTACTAACTGAACATAACAGCATGCAAGTCAGCCATTAGAGCGGGCTCAGTAACTGGGAAAGTCATCAGGTTTTACCTAAGCTGTACACTCAGTCCAGAAGCTAACTGCATGTACTGTACTTTATTTCACAACTTGCAGCTGACAGGAGCTTTTATAGACAGCTCATAAACACCAAGAATATATTAAAAACACTTATAAAATGCAAACACCTTCAAGAGCATCCAGTCAAGGACTTTTGCTAAGACAAGCCCTGTGATTTCTTTGAAAAAGTCAAGTGCATTTACCTGCCCTCCAGATTTTTAGACTTAAGTTGTTCTTCTCCTTCCTGTATCTGCTCTTCTAAAACCCTTATCTTGGCTTCCCTCTGCTCAGGGGTTTCCTGCCCAAAGAGCTTGCTGGTCATCCCTTTCAGGGAGAATGTCCTCACAGTCTACAAAAAACAACAACAAAAAAAAGACGGGAAAGAACCTAAGACTTGTGTTCTGTAGAGAAAGAAAAACCATAGCATCGTTGCATATAGAGCACCAATGAATCCAACAGCAGTATTAAGAATTCTAAGCACTTTTTTTTTTTTAATTTACCATTTTAAGATAATGTTTTAAGTAACATTATCTTTCACATGAAAGGGACTAGCCACATATCAGTAACATCCACTTTTCAAAAGGCAGAGGAAGCCTTCCAGAATTTTCATCTTTAAGATACAGTTGGTTGTCTTATTCTGCTCAGGTCATATTTCCTGCAACTCTTAACCTGCTCTGTATTCAATAAAAGAAGTTTGGTACATACAGCTTATGTCACCAAGAACCAAGTTACTTTAAACCTCAGAAGCATACAGCTCCTATGATGCTGCTTCTCATAAGCAGCAGCCAGCATGTCAGTGCCATTTAAATGTCATTCTAAGTAACTTGGCTCAAATAGTTTGTGTTTTTTGTTGGTTTGTTGTGGGGTTTTTTTAAAAGAGGCATCTTGGAGAAAAAAGTGGAAAGACTCACTCCTGTTGCCAGCTCTTCACACTGCTGCTTCTTAGATGCCAGGTCCTGCGCAGCCATTTCCAAGTCATATTGCATTAGTTCATGTTTCCTGCAAACTGCCCTGAAAAGCAAGCAACAAAAGATCTGTCATGTGATAATTTCTTTTGTTACATTTTCCTCCATTTAAACTTCACAAATGGCATCTTGCTTTTTTGGGGGGCAGGCAGCACATCTGGTTATTTATCTAGCTTGAATTCAACAGCCTTATCACAGAATGCATAGCTCTGCAAAAGCTGTAGTTAACCAAACTTGGATCAAAGTATAAAGAAAGTTTTTAGTACAGCAGCCTTCTGCTCCACTTCTTTGACTCATTCAGAGACACTTGCAGAGATATGAGCCCTACCACCTACTTATAGACACCACTGTCAAGTAGTTTTAGTTAAAATACATTACAGAAAAATCACAGCTATGACAAAAGGTACCTGGAGATGGTACCTGTCACAGCAGCAATGTATCAGTCAACCATAAAATTCTTCACAATTTATTTTTTAAACAATGAAACAAGAAACTGTGCTCCTACATTCATATAGTGCCTTTCATCTGGTAAAGAGGAGAGTTTCCTCTGACCACCTGCAGTAAGTCCCAGTCCTGTGTGGGCTGATGAAGCTACATCCGTACTCCAAGGCCAGATGCACGTTTATCTCCCAGGAGAGAATCCTTGTGCTCTGGGTTCCCACACAGCACCTGGCACACTTGCCAACCCAACTCTCCACAGCACTACCCAACCTCTCCAAGAGGTCCAAGCCAGCTCGTGGAGAGCACAATAGCTTTAAGGTGCAATCTTCCAGCATAAAGCAATTTGCTTTTCTATTCACACTTATAAGGGAGGACTGCCCTATAAAAGCTAATGGAAAAAAAGTAAACTAAAATCAGTGTTTAGCTGCACAATGCTGCACAGCAGATGAAAGTTACATAAGGGCACTTTGAAACTTGCTGGAATTTGTAATGGCTGTAGCAGAGCTGTTTTGCCCATTTCATTTGAAAGCTGAAGCTTCCAGCACATTGGGACACTATTATGCCAGAAGCCAAGGAAACAATGTAACCAGAGGAATGAACAGCATTACCCTCCACATACAGAGCTTGACATTTCCATCATTTCACTATTGATCAGCTCCATGCTAACTTTTATTGCCACCCACAGGGCAATCAAACATGAGTAAGCAAAATAAGAGCTGAGAACATGGAGGTTCCACAAGATTGAACTCTCCACTTCTCAGCGAAGAGGACAGCAAACAAAATTCAACACCAACACAATGTTAGAGGGAAGGACTACAGCTTCCATCTGAGCTACACACTTCTGTACATACCGTAGTGCTTCTGCATAGAAGAGATATTCTTTCAGCTGATCTGCATAATGTTCCTCTTCTTCTAGTATGTCATCAATAGAAGCTGCATACCTGGTGAAAAACAGCTAAGGTTAAATATCAACTTCCTGTATTTAACCTTTAAGGACTGCACATACAGTAACATGGGAAGACACCTGTTTGACAGAAACACCCATCACCAAGTAGAATAATGAAAGGCACTTCCAAAAAGGGGTTTTTTTCCTTTGTTTTTCATTAAACTCTGAGTCAACTAATACAAACACTCCTGCAAGCCTGTTTCTTTGGTTGTTACAACCACGAATCTTTTGACAAGTACAAGTTCTATTGTGAGTTTCTTGCTGAAGATGAGGCAGTTTTTATCACAAGAAAAACAATTTCTACCTTTTCTTCAGCAGACTGTTGACAAGCAGCACCAAGGCAAAGACAGGCATGGTGCAGAAGAAATCCTGTAAGGCTTAAAGCAGTAAGGCATAGAAACCTGAACATGGTACCTTCTGAAAAGCAAAGAGGCTACTTTCAATGCTCATTATTCAGCCTGAGTATGAGTGAACTCATAGTGGTGCTCTGAACACCACAACATGAAGTCCTGTAGCTCCTTGAAAGTCTGTTGCTATGTCTGCTGCCTAAGTCAGACAGATCAATTCAGAGCAAGCTTTAAAAGAAACAGGGACACTTAGACCCCTAGGAATCTAAGAGAGGTATTTGAGGAAGACACTCCTGCTTAAAGTTATCATCACCCTCAGGCCTGCTCAGTAGGGCATGCAAAATAAGGCTCTTCAAAGAGGGAACATCTACTTGTCAAACAATTGGAAGAATGGGGAAACTGAGGAAGAGTTGCAGACATGCCCACCTGTTCAAGGATGAATTTTATCAGTATGCAAGCAAGATAAGTTAATTTGATCCTTTGCAAAATCAAAGACATGCCACAACCAGGAATGGCTCTACCAAGGCTACTTGAGATAAATAAGCATAATATATGATGTGGCCCCAAAAGCAGATCAGTTTAAGTAGATAGGATAAAGAAACAGGCAGAACAAGAATTCATATTGTGATTTAAAGTAAGGAAGAAGTCCATACTGTTGAAAAATATACTTGTTCTGAAAAAATTCTGCAGCCACACAGGTTGAAGTGGCTTACACCTCTCTATTTTTAAGTTCTGAAGACAAGCACTATTTCCGCCTGCTTCAGCTGAAGTTTAAACACTGGTTCATCCTAAGCAGGCAGGCAAACCAGGGAAAACTGGAAGGAGAAACTGCAGAAAGTTCCAAAGGAAATTATGTTCCTACTCTTCATGGGAATCATCAACTAAACCCCTGTTTAGTTCAGACTGCCACCACCCATAATGACAGTTTAGCTAATACAGAGAGAAAGGGTCGCTCATTAACAGCATAAAGGACAGAAGTTAAAGGTCTGGTATTTTTTTTTTTCATCTTTTAAATGGTAGAATTACAGCCATTCACTTGAGCTTTCTCAGCACATCCTGTTGTTCTGTATTGCTTCAGCAAGCCTCATCCTGCCATACAACACCTAGAGGTGCTTTGGGATGTCTTCTCCAAATATTAAGCTGTTTCAGATCATACTAAACAATAACAACTCAAAAGTTTAAACAAACAACTAGTAAAGACCAGAGCATATGGGGTAGATAGAGAATAATTAAATTAGCCCTGAAGTTTTAACATCTATATCAGGCAGCCTTCCTGAAGCACTTTCTGTTGCAATAAACTCCTGTATGATGTTATGGGAATGGTAACTGGACTGGCAAATTGAACTTTCAAGAGACCATGGATGTGATCCTTACTGGTAGGAGACCTCACGGGTCACTGAATGAGCTCCTGAATCTCACAGCTGCTGCTGCTTCTTACTTGATTGTCACTATTATTGTTGTGTGAGAGTGCCAGAGCAGAAGAGATGACAAACAATGAAAGCAACCTCAGACTTCATGCAGTGATTAAAGTTACCGAGAAACTCACTGCCATTACTGTGTTGGATCTTTAACCCTAACTGTGTTACAGACAGAAACATTAAACATCTCAGATGTGTGGAGAGGGTTTATGCCTCCTGACTGAGAATTTAGCTGGTTATGCATTTCAAGGTGTTTGACATCTAGTGTGGTGTGTCTGAACCACTGAAAACCAACCTGTCTCTCCTTAACTCCTCCATATTATACCTTGTTTCCACAGTCTCTTCAACTTCTGCATACTGTAGTAGGTGCTTAACATTATATTCCACCTCTACCAGTTTTCTCATGAAAGCAGGATGCATTCTGCATTTCTTTCTTCTCACCAGAACCCTCTGCCTACAAAATTCTGTAACTTTTTTGGGGTGCAAACCACCAAGTTAGCCAAAACATAGAAGTGTGAATACATTTTTCAGAGGGGTTCAAATTAATAAAAGATCTGATAAAACCAGAATTATTCTGAAGAAGCTGAAGGCAGGGTTCTACATGGCTTGTCAAACCCTTCCCTTTGACATGGCATATTGTATGAAAAGATGTAGAAAAGCTTTCAGCTCTTGCTGGAGTTGTTACTCACCTGTACTGTGCAATTATAGAGGAGGAATCAGTTTCCCTTACTACATGTGACTACCTGAAAAGCAGAACTCATGAGCCTAGAACACCACATCTGCAAGCATTGTGAAGTGCTAGACTCTTATTTTGAAGGCTGTGTTTTGCATCCCTGCCAACTGCCTCTAAAGATGCAAAGAGGGAAGAATCTCTACTTCATTACATCCAGTCAGTATTTGTTTCAAGAATCCACCAGCGTTTTGGTGCCGATTAATTAAATTTCTGAACTTTCTGTAATTAACTCCAAATCTGTGTACCATCTACTGCATGGTACAAAATACTACTATCAAAACCAAATGGAACTCATCAGGCCTGCAGCACATTACTCCACCAGTTTCTGGCATAGTAGCTTAAAAGAAAAACTGGAAGAATTCCAAACACTTCTACAATTTCAAAATAATAATTAAAAAAAGAAACCCCTCTGGTTCTCCTGAGACCTTTTGAGCTACTTAATACAGCACATGGATGCTCAAGTTGTGCCTTCATCCAAGTCACAGAAACACTGTACACCTAAAAACAATGCACCCCCATTTTCTCAGTGCACTGCTTGTATCTGCTTTGGGGTTGAGGCAAAAGAGGGAGAGTTCTACATCTGGCTTACATCAAACTATCAGATATTCAGTCAGTACTTACACATCCATGTGGTGGCCAGCACTCTGCAACCCATCCCCCATCTCCTTTTCTATTGCACTCCACTCACTGTAGGAAAAACAAATGAGAAACAACATCACACATGAAGGGTAAGGGAAGTTAATAAGCTGCATCCTGTATATAGTTTCTTTCCAGGTGACACCTGAATAGAAACTGCCTCAAAAATCCACTTGGCCAAACTGTTTTCTTCTTCTAAGCAGCAACACTGACCATGTGGCAAGGCTATCTACAGCACCCTGTGTAACAATTGTCCCTGCTACCTAAACTCACCCTCACAAATATACTTAGTTTGGGATTGGATTTGAGTAGACTGTTGTTTAAATACCTAAAACATTAATTAAATTATACTAGCACTTAAAATAAAGTGGTGGGGGGGATGGATGAGGGAACTTTCTAAAACAAAATTTGGTCTAACATGCTCATCAGATGAAACTAAGCTTTCCAGAACAGCAACACATCAGACAGAAAAGCCTCTCAATTCCAAAAACCCAACAGTGGGATTTGACATTTACAAACATTTTACTGCTTCTGAAAACCTTTGCTGTATGTTATTTTCTGTTCTCATAGTACAGTGCGGTTTAGTTCTAATACTTTAAAACATAATAAAAAAAAATAATTCAACTTACAACCATTTCTACCTAATCACATTAGGGAGATCATTTAGATAAAGAAGGAAACAGAGTTACAATAAAGATAGCAAAAGACTTATTCTGGACACTGGAGTATGTACACTGCAATTCTGTTTTCTCAGCTTTGTGAAACCTTATGAGATTTCTTAGTTACAAGAACTGAATCCACAACTCTTTTTACAAGAAAAAAGCAGGAGGTCCTTTACGTTTCACATAATTTATGTCTACTGGATCTAGTCTGTCCTTCATTCTTTCATAAACATTCCACTGTGCCAATGTTGACATTTGTTTGTCTTTATGTTATTACAGAACTACACCTAATTTCACTTTAAAACCCCCAATGAGAAAGACATCTGCAATCCATTAACCCAGAGAATTAAATTTAGCACTTGAACAGTGTGTAGAAGCAGGAGGTTTCCCTTAACCAGAAGTTTAGATTTTTAAATTCTCCAGTGAGATGGAAAACTTGAGCATGCATTCACTCATATAAATCAAAAAACGATTGGCAAATTCATTTTTAAAAGGTACTAACATTGGATATAGTTGTTGATTTTTAACCCTTAAAAGGACATAGAAGCTTTTCAGAGACAACTGCATTAAAATAGGTAGTAAGTTACTTTCTGAAGACAGACAATGCCAACACAACAAAAGCCTGAAAGGTCTGGAATACAAAACAAAAACCTGAAGTCTTCCACTAGAGACTAAGCTCAGCAGATCCAGAGATTGTTACATCCAGCACAGAAATCTCGCTAGTGCTGCAATATGAAGTTCTTTCAAGGCAGACATTTAAATGTTTCAAATATGCTTTTCAAAAGCGTAACAATAAAATCAACAAATTCTCTCTCTCCACATCTGTCTGTGCATATATTTACAAACTGGATGAACTCTTACCTGAATACTCTTCCATAGTTGCCATGGACCTTATAGACACCATATAACCGGTCTGCTACCCTCTGAAACATTTTAGAATCAGGTTTTGTTCATCAACATTTAGTGAAATTATTTTGTGAACATCCAAATACAAACTTGAAGAGCTAAAGTCTTCATGTTTTTACACAGGTAAACAAGATTAGGCCTAAATCTAATCTAAGCCACTACTGAAGAAATAATCAATAACATTAAGTAGCTGAAGACTGAAGTGACAATCAAGGCTACACTGCAAAGTTACATTTCCAGTATTTCTTTGGAAGAGCTCGTATACAGGATATGCCCATGGAGACCACAATACCTTCAGCTACCTTCAGGTTTTGATAACTAGATGTAAGGCATAGCCTCCTTTAACTGAATAATGTCAAATTTATACACACAGTTGCTTACTTAACATGAAGATGGCAAGACAGGAGTCCATCCTGTCATCAAGACTGTAGGGAATTTAGTAAGATTTTAAAAAGTGACTTGATTTTTCCATCCAACTCAGTGAAACGAAGGAAAGGAAATGAACTATTCATTGCAGAGCTTCTTGCTAAAGGTAGATACATCATTTCAGCTGTTTGGAGAGTCAGTACCTGCTGCAGCCAGAATTACAATGCTGGCAACAACCTCAGAAGAAAAGACCACATGTGCACCTTTAAGTGTGACTTGTAATCCCGATAATGCCCTTGTAATTGTGATGTACCAATGAGTGAGACCGCAGTTTGGTAAGAGCTACCATTGCTGGTCTGTAAAAGCAGTAAAAAAGAAATGTATGCAAATTGCCCAACAGATCTCATACACACACAGACCTGAGAAAAAGGCACTGTCAGTAGCACACCAGTGATTAATCCTCTCAAGAACTTCAGCTGGACAGGGCAATCAATTACAGTCCTCTCTGCCACACAGTTTCCATCAAAAATTAAATCCTTGTTAAACACACTAAAAAGCAGTATCATGCACCTCATTACTGGAATTGTAATTTCCTATTTCCTTTTTGTGACTTTAAAGAAAATAAAATCTTCAGTTCTCAACTCTTAAGAGTATCTAGATTCATGATATAATTGTTCTCATCATTGGAAAAAACATTATTCATTACAGATTAAAGAAGAAGCCAAAAAAAAAAAAAAAAAAGAAAAAGTGTGCTGGGAAGCACACACAATTCATACTACAAGCTCTGGGAAAGAAAAACTATATGCCTGACCAGAAATCTGTGTTTTGGGGCACTTTCCAGCCCAGACACCCAGCAAAAGCAACTTGTCTCCTGAGAGAAGCAGACATTTCAATCCACCTCCCTCTGATATGTGACCATCAGGGAAGAGGGCAGATTAGCAACATGCATGTGTTTGCTCCTCCAATGACTGCCAAATTCATCCACCACATTTAGAACTCTTTCTCCCCCACAAATCTGTACAAAGGCACACCCCCTTGCCCCCTTGCTGTCTTCTGCCCCACACTCTCTCAGGCAAAACGACCCTTATTGTAGAACACATATACCATTCTCTTGACTAAACAAGAAATACTGCCTTATAAATAAATCATACTATTTGTCACGACACACATGGGAAATACTTACAGCTCTGACGCGCAGAAGGTGTGATATGACAGACTGCAGTTCATCACTGTAGTGTTTTAGCTCAGTAAATCTCCTGGGAGCAGGAAACAGATAGTACATCATTAGCCATCACAGAAGGCAAGAGAAAGCCACAACACTACCACCAGCAGGAAGGAGCCCAGATTCTGTTGAGGTGGGATTAGCTGAAGACTCCTAAGAAAGTGACTGCAGAGTTTAATTTCCCTAAAGCGAACAACACTCACATAACTGCTGAGCTTTTTTTATGTAAATGATGAAGGTTCAGAACAATTTAAGAGAAAAATGTTCCTGAAATATAAGTAGCTAGCTGAAATTACTACATCATTGTGTTTTGTTTTGAATGGGATTTATAAAAGCAAGCATGAGTGAATAGGAAAGCTTCAAATAAGCACAAGGCCCAAATCTGCAGAAGCACTAATCCTTCTGAACAAAAATGTGTTCACACCTCTAACCTGACAAAGACACTGCTTTCAAGCTGCCATCTAGCCACTTTTGAGTCTAACCCTTCTGAAGTTCAAGGAAGCATTCCCAATTATCACAGTTCCTCTAAGGCTAAGCCATACAGTAATTGTTAATTGCTATATATGACACACTAGTGAGAACTGTACCTGCACAGGAGTCACACACAGCTAAAAGCCATCAAGTCACTGCATCTTAACAAGGTATCAGTCAGGTAACCCATCACAAGTGGTCATGTACATATGGTTAACCTGCCACTATTTGGGGAGAAGAGACATTTTATTCATCAACCCAGTTAAGCCTTAGTGGTAGTTCAAGCAGATACATTTAGCTCATGCTAATGACAAGACTTAATCAGTTGCCACAGCCTTTGTTAGTGACAGCTAACCAATTAAGCCCCAACAATAGCCACTTCTGTACATGTAAACCCTTCCTACTACACTCTAGTTAACTCATGACCTACTTTGATACACAAGAATGTATTTCATCCAGATAGGAAGCCAGAAACAGCTCTACCTAAATTACTAAACAATTATCTGAAAATAAACTACTATAATAAACAATGTAACTAGAATTAAGGAATGAGACACTAAGATTAGCTTTCCAGATTGATGTTCAAGAAATAAAACCTTCACCCCTCCTCCCACCACAGGCACACAGTCAGGCTTTGTATTTCAGAACATTTTGTACTCAAGAGGTCTTACTGACATGAGTCAGGTCACTTGCTTTGGGTGACCAAGTATGAAATTCCACATTTTTTCATTTAACATCTATTCTTCCCCTGCCAGGAAGTCTTCCCCCAAAATATTCTCCTCCTTACACTCAGGAAGCAGGAGCTTTATTACCATTTATAATATTTTTCATCTCCAAGGAGCATCTTTTATAAGATTGACACACACAGGGTTAAAGTACATAAAAAGATTTAAAAGCCAGCAGAGAAACTGTACGGGAAAAATAGTCATTGATCTACACAGTGGGGTTTAGAGAGAAATCTCTTCAGTTTACACTTTATAAAATATGCACCAGGGCTGAATGTCAGACAGCTGCAGACACATACAGTGAAGATATTTGAAATAATTGAACAAAAAACAAAAGATTAAAAAGCATTCCTTCAGCTCAGGAATACTCCTCTTTCCACCCCAGAAATTCAAAACGAGAATTTTTATTTATCCTGTTCTGTGGCAAGAAAACTTTTAGGAATGCCATAGTCCCCGAAGGCAAGAGTCAGGATCCTAAGAGGACTTTCAGTATATCCTGGACTCCAGCAGCAATACATCTTCTCCCATGCCAATTCCTCCCCTCATGAAAAAAAATCAAACATTTTTATTTTAAATCACCACTTCAGAACCAAGCTGTCTTCTTTTTATTGTCTCAGAAAAACATCAACCAAATCTTTTGCCCAGTCTTCTGTGAAGGTTGACAATTTTACAAATATAATCTTTCAGGAAAAAAACTGCTTTATAAGAGACTGGTGGTGTTGCAAACCAAAGGTTTATTTCTCAAGTATTTGCTGAAGTCCTACTCATTGCTCATGTAAAAAATTTATATAATTGTAAAGCAATAAACCGAACTTGGTGAGGAACACAAAGGGATGTTCACTTCCCTGTGCAACAGAAACATGAAATGACATAGTTTTGGCACTCAGTAACTGAAGCAAGCCCCATGCTTTTACCTTGGTTTTCCTGATTCTTTAACATTACCAACAGACTAGATATTTGATCTGGTAAGTAGAGCTTCAGACACAAAGTACAAATCAGGCCACATCTGTAGGAACACCACTAGGTTTCTGCTCAAAAATACATGTTATGGTAATGGCAAAGAAGAAAACTTCATTTACAGTAGACAGTATTTCAATATAAGTTATTCACTTGATGCATTTTGCTTGGCAGATCTACTTCCTATTTCAAGGGGGGAAGTACCATTTTCCTTTTTTGTGAAACAAGATGCTACAAGAACAGAACTGTTCACTAAAGAACAAGCCACTTGTCCACCTAACCAGACAAAAAAGAAACAAAAAAAAGAAGTTAGTTTGTAATTTTGGGGTTTATTTTTAATTCTGCCTTAAGAAAGGATTCAGGGTTTTTCTGAAATAAACTTTTCACCAAGAAAGCTAATGTTTTTACTACAGCTCAGCAGGGAACAGAGGATGAGTGCCACGAGGCCAAATTAGAGAGGTCTGCAGTAGATACAAATTTACCTCTGAGTATCAGCATACCTTGTTTTTATTACCATATAATCCCATCATTAAAGACACTAACTACTTCCCACAGGAGGCACTTCAGTTTCCAATCTACATTTGAACTCCTAGAATACTGGTATTAGGTCTTCTCTCACTTTTTACCAAACCACTTCACACAAAAGCTTTGCTTTCAGAAATATGATGTTACCTCAAAAAAAACCCAGTATATTTCTCATCTCAGGCTTAACCAGTCTTGCCCACCTATGACTGTAGGCAAAGTACTGGCAAAGCTTCCCTGACATGAAAGCAGGAAAAGCTAACTCCAACAAGCCACAGATAAGGATGAAGGGTGAAACATTTAAACAAGAGGCCAATCTCACCTCTAGCTATTGGTAGAATTGCTGTATTTTGGTCTCATTCATGAACATTATGTGTCACATTAAGCCCTAGCTGAAAGCTTCCTGGTTACCACAGAAGGCTGCAAAAGCAAACACACAAAAAAAGGAGGGGCTGCACCAAATCACAGGTAAGTCTATAAAGAGGTTCAGAAAGGTATGTACCCTCTGATGTCCCTAATACAATATCCTTGGGTGCAAGGGAAGCACAAAGGGAGCAGACAGGAGAAAGCAGTCATGCACATGAGCTCTCCCTACAAAGCACCTCCACCACTGCACTTTCTGCGGGTTCTCTATTGCTTTGCAAATGTCAAACAGCAACAGCTCTTGACCCTATGGCTCCACACTGATGTTTCCAACTACTGCAGAAGTAGAAACTCTTGTTTTACCCTTCTCATATCACCTAGGGCACGATGAACCTCACACTACACACCCTTACACTTCTGAACACTTTCTTGATCCAGTAGATTGCTCTACTGCCTGTCCCAGAGCTTCCTAAACTGCAACAGAGCTAAGATGACCTTGGGACTTCCAAAAGTATCTGTGAAAATTGGCAGCTTGAAGAGAGCTATGAACTGCAGCAGCAGCAGAACTGCATACTGACAGATTTTTGAAAAGACCTACTATCAATCTGTATTCCTTTCATGCTTGCAAAGGTTTCTTTACAAACAAATATTAAGAGGTTCTTTTTTGGAGTATTTTTTGGTGTCCCTTCCTTTTAATCTAGCTAAAACAAAAGAGTCATTTTGCACAGTGATGGCATTTTTCCAAATGTTTCATGCTCCTAGAAACAGTATTTACCAAACCTTTTCACACTGCCTCCTTACTGGGCTTCTGTTAAGATTTGAAGTGCAGGATGATGATTTTTCTGTTCTGAATTTATTCTAAGGATATAAAATATTCTGTCATGAGAAGCTTGAGTTGTAACCGAAAAAGGGAAAGGGAAGAAGGAAAGATGTGGAATCTTACTTGTCTGGATTTTTCACTCTGAATGTTGCATTAAGAGCTTTTAATCTGGAATCTGCCTGAAAAAAAGGGGGGGAAAAAAGCTTTGTTAATTTAATGCAATTAGATTCCAGTGACAAAAAAATCTTAGCCTTCTGGCAGTACCATTAGATAAAAATCCTACCTTCCTGCCATATTTAACTCTTCAAGCATTTAACAATTTGACACTAGCTATCCTGCATGTCAGATTTTTCAATTGAAAAGTTAAAAATCTAAGCTATTTTTGTAAACTAGGATGTAAACAGTATCCACTAAAATTAAGATGGTATAATTCAAATCCCACAAAAATAGTCCCTTCATAAAATGTTACACAAATCACAGAGTTAAGATACACAACCCTGCATTCTTTTTAGATGAAGCAATTAGGTAACATAAGACCATATGGACAAACTATTTTATATTTTTCAGACCAAATAAAACCAGTGCTAGAGTAACCTCTATATGCTCTTTATTACTAGAACAGTTCCCCAGTGAAATCAAAATCTTATATATGGTGTTTTCTTATTTTATGACTTGCTTTACAGAAAATATGTAATTTGTATATCAGAATTGAGCCATTTTCAATGCAATGTTCTTTCCTGTAACATAGCATGTATAAATCTCAAAAAAATTAAGTTCAATGCCTAATTAAAAAGGTAATTGGCTACTTGACTTTTTGAGATGTTGGTTTACCAATGACTGCAATGACAGTAGTAGGGGACTTCTCTAAGGAGGTGGGGGTCTTTTCAGTTGAATGGTTCACTGAACTGTGCAATGGGTATTTACTCTTAATAAGACACTAACAAAGGGGAGATATCCCAGTCTTGTCCACAGAGGTCCCACATCACCACAACTTTTCACTTCTGTAGGGCATCTTACATAAAGCTCCCTCCAGTATCATCTATAGTGCACGAAAACTCCAGCTTCCGGAAAACAGCTGTAGTTTGCTTTTGATCAAAACATCCCTCTTTTCAGTGAAAGAAAAATAAACATACAACTTGTGAGGTGCACAGATTTCTTATAGTGTACTCTTTTAGCTAATACACTGTGCCACCACTTCTAGCAGTAAGTCCCTTCAGCTGTATTTGTTAGTGCTGGTATCTGACACAGGAATATTGTATGCACTGTTACAGCCAACTTGGAGCTTGACTAGCTTTTTTTAATTTGACAGTGAAGGGAATACAGTGTTTTCCCAAACCAAGAACTGAGTCCCTTCTTTAGGGCCCTTGCAATCAATTCTGCAGGTGAGACAGCCACAGTTTGAGACTGTTTCACCTACCACTGCATTTGGGCCCACAAAAGATACCCATATTTGAGTATCATTCCAAGTTCCTTTCACCTGGAATCACCTCTGCATCTGAAGGACATTTAGGAGAGCATCCAAGCTGAGGGAAAACAGCTTGCTTCTTGCAACAAGGATAAGAGCTACTGATGGAAATCTTGGCCAACTTCAGCTGTCCTTCCAGTTACCCAAACCACCAATAAAAAACAATCCACAGAGAAACCTGCACCACTAAGGCTGACTGACACTGGAAGAATAGAAGTTCATTGTCACTGCTACACACAGCACTCCTCTAAGATTATCTTGCAAAGGGAAGACAAAGGCAGCATGGGGAAGCACATCCAAGATAGCCCACAGAAAACAAAATACTGCAGTAACTCCAAATTCCAGCCTTTATGTTTATTCAGAGTGCCCCATAATCTTGTATGGCCTTGAACCTCCACTGCTATAGCCTGACTAGTCATTACACATGCCATCTAGATCTCAGGTCATTCAGATGCATTTACGTGTGCTCCTCACATGTTCTCTCACAGTACAAACAGCACCAAGGTACACTGACACTAAATCAGAATCTTCCCCTTTCAGTAGCTGCTTCACAAGAGCCTGTATTTATGTCCAAACAGCAAGCACCAAAATCAAGAGTTTGTAGGGACAGTGCACATTCAACAGGTTTACCATTGAAAAGGATCACTTCCTACGTTACAGTTACAGAGCAAGTTTTTGCCTTTTGTTACAGACACATCTAGTGCTCTGAAGGAAGAGTTCAGTAAGAATATGAGCACTATCAGGCTGAAACCAAGGTCTTGCCAATGCTCAATCATCTAAGTCAGGTTATTTCCTTCTTGCCATTAGCAGCACAGTAACCCCCACACCACTTTTGAGCATTCACACCACATAGTTAGAAAAACATCTGTCCTGTCTTAAGACTTAAATGCATCAGCATTTCAGAGATGAACTCGCCAACAAATGAGGTACCATTGAGTTTTCAGACAGTTAATTCCACTGATGATCCTATAATCATTTCAGTAAACTAATGAGAGAAAGGAATTTTCTCCTTCCTAAAGGAAGGCGTAAAATCCCAAGCGACAAATCCCTTAAAGAATAAAATTAAGTGCTGGTGGTGGGAGGAAGGAAAGGCATGATTTCATGATACACTTGGCAGAGTAAACAAAGTCTCCAACATCAACATTCAACTATAACATGTGACACTGCATTAATGCCTAACTTAAAGTTTAGTTAGCCTGGTTCAACCCCTTTGGGACAAAAGACACATCCTGCTTTAATGCAGCAGCAGCATGTAAGCCAGTGGTCTGATTCTAGTTTAAGACATGTCATGAATAGAGGTTTGTCCTCCAGTGTAGTACTAAATAACCTCCAATTTTGAGAGCTTTATATTTACAATACTGAATAAAGGAAAAATGCTTTTTCCCAGGCTTTTGCAAAAAGTCATTTTTCTTTCCTAATGAAACAGGTACTGAAAAAGGGAAACTTTACACACAATCAAACCTAGAAGGAAAACAGGACTTGCTTCTCTCTCATTTCACCTACAGTATGGTTGCAGGTAGGCAAATGCTCTCAGCATTCTGATATGAGTTTTCTTTCAAACTCTCATCACTGTGCGCACCCCTGAACATATCCTGCCAGTATAAACTGAACTCCTGTGTGTGTAAACTGAAACAAAGAGGTGCTGACCAGGAAACCACAGCTCAAAAGATTTACATATTTTGCATTAGGAATACAAGCAATACACAAGCACTATCATGATGGAAAAAAAATATTGTAAACTGCAGTTATCAAGATTGTCAGTTTCAAAGCCCCTTGAACACTGAGGATACAAGTACCACTGATCTCCTTTAGCTCTCACTATTCAGAGTAATTCTTCGAAATCCACCTAGTTTTCAGTTGCCATTTCACGAGTTGATCACGTTACCATGAAACAAAAGCTGAGTATCTGTTTCCATATAGCAACTTTTCCAGACACAGCCCACCAATCTACCAGCTTCTCACAGATTCTTGTACTGTACAGACACATCACCTTTGATCATTTATTCCTGCAAGCCTACCACCCACTTACCCAGCCATGAACTCACTAATGCAATGGGGAATAGTACTAATTCAATACACATTCAGTTAAGGAATACAAAATCCATCTGTCTTAGTCCCCTTCGGTAACTTACCCTTGTAGAGACATCCTACAACTCAGACTTCTTTGCTTGCCTTTTCTTGGTTTTGACACCTTGCACCTCTTACCAGGGTAAATCTGACACCCATCTTTAAAATGATGCTAAACTAAACCAACAATACGCAAAAGCACTGCTATAGGCTCAAGTTCCTTAGTTTTAAGACTTGTAAGGATTGTAATTCGACTTTACTAGCAGAATTTACCAGGTTAAGCATCAAACATAGGCATATATTAACAAGCTTCATCTTAACAGTTTAAGTCTTACCTACAGCATGCTGAGAACACTGTTTTTTGTAGTTAAAAGTATACATAAAGCAATGCCTTTAACTCATTCTAGCAGCAAACAGCCTTTCAAAAACAGCCTAAAAATGTTTGATGGAGTATGTGTGTCACAGCAGTCATGAGACAAACAATTACATTAATTACCTTTAACTGAAATCCAGTCTCATTCACCATTTCTTTCCACCCACCTTCCTAAAAATACAGGAAAAGAATGCTCAGTTAGAGTGATTTAAGAGTAACACAGCTTCTGCAAGTCTCTATATCAATCCTGATATCAGAAGGGCTTCTCCAAGAAGCCTGGACTCTGCATACAGACAACACATAGATGACAACTGCCCATGGAGCACGTGCAGTCACCTCACTCCTGCACAACAGTTTGTTGTTCACTGCTTTCAGTCCCCACACACTGGTTTATCTACACACTGTACTGTGCTGGGTAAACATATCTACTAAGCCCACTATCTGGGAATCTCTCATCAAAGCTCAAAAAAAGAAACATATCCAACACCTCAAATCGAAAACTGCAGAATGCAATGCTTCAGGTGACAGCTGCATCACACCTTTTGCAATAACATACTCTACTGGTTTTGGAGCACAACACACATGAATGGATCATGATTCAAACTGTCAACCTAAAGAAACCATGGATATCCAATGAGGGAGCTGGAAGCCAGTACTGTCTCTGCAGCCAGCAGTACAGCATGCTAACTATTTCAGCTTTAGCCCCAGGGAAGCATTCCCAACCAACACACATTATGTTCCCAATATGTTGTTCCAAAGTGGTGTAAATTCTCTCTTAGGAGCCTCACAACTAGACTGGAAAAAAGTCATATGGCACATCACAAGAACAATTGTACAACAGCAGTGGGCTGTTGCGCAGCTTTTAGTTATGAGGTAAGTCTTTTCCACCTCAAGTTTATTCACATTGTCTATCCTTCTACACACAGAACAAGCTATGGGTCAGCTGGAGGGAAGAAGACCAAAAGGACACCATCTTAAATAAACAATCACTGAAGAATATATTTAGAAAGCCCATCACTTTACTATACCTGTGTTAAAAATGAATAAAAGATTTTGTCTTGGCAAAGAACAGGATGTGAAGCCACACGTAACAGGAAGTTTTCCAAACCAATTCTTCTTCTTTCCACAAAATCTGGATCCATATTATCTGCTGACAGCTTATGCCAAACAAAGTCAGCCTATTTTAAACAGAAGAGTGTTATTAGTAAATAAACAACAAATAAATACAAAGCACGCTGCTGCCTCAGCTTCCTTACCCTTTTTTCTGGCAAAGGTGGAACAACAATATGTGGATAGGTCACTGATAAATAATTCCTCAACAACTCAAATTCACTGTAACGTCGCCACAGGGACTCCACTGGGGCACATTGTCCCTCACTCTGGGACTCAACAGCTCTGAAAGACAGAACAGCCAATTTGAGATTTAGTAAGCAATCACCTTCCTTCACACCATCAGCACAATTACAGCAAAAAAAGTTACCCAGTAATGATTACTGCATTACCTGCCCATAATCTAAAATAACTACAATTCATTTCACATGTACATACTTCATTTAACAATACTTATAATTTGTGCCTGACAGTACTCCCATTTTTTTAAGAACAGATGAAAAATTAACACATTTTCATCACACCACAAATAGGTAGGTCACAGTCAAGTAAACAGTCACACAAGTGTCTTAGTTCTCATCCCTACAGAATTAGACATATTTCTCTTAGAACAGTGTTAGGCTCTAAATCAGCATGATTTCATGAGCAGCTGGAGGATACTGAGTATTCCAAGAAGGAACCCACTATTCAATAGGAAACCTTTCACTTCAGAGGAGAAAAATTATCTCACCTGCAACAGCTAGAATAGTTAAAAAAATAGAACTTGAAAAATATTAAGAAAATTTAAAGGATATTTTTAGAAAAATGTAGCATATTTCAAAGCACTTCCAATTTTTATTGTTCAAAGTGGTATCTTTTTCTATTTAAGGACAAAAGACATGTAGTCTAACAAACTAGCTAGAGTTATAGAACTGGTACATCTGAAAAATCTGGTGAAAACTTAAAGCCTGTGTCACCTAGCAATGTATTAAGGGATTTTATGTTACTATAAAAGGAGAAATCATGGGATATTATAGGATTGAAAGGTGATATAAAAATTTGAAAAACCCTCATTCTTCATACAAGACATTTAAAGCAACAAAAATACTCTGCAATACCATAAATAAGCATCAGGTCAGTAACAATTGCTGGTAGTTAGCATATGTCAGAAAAAAACACAGAAAGGATTCAGAAAAGGCACTTAGCAGAAAACAGTGATTTCTAACCCCACCTTAGATCTTATATTAAGTGACTAGTTGGCATACAAAGCACTGCCATAAACCTTCATGAAACAGTACTACATTATGAGATTATCACAGGATAGTTGAGGTTGGAAGGCACCTCTGCATATCTGCAGCCCAACTCCCTTGCTCATGGCAGGTTGCTCAGAGCCACATACAGTGGGGTTTTGAGTATCTCCAAGGTCAGAGACCACTACCACACTGGGCAATCCATTCCCATGTTTGGCCAATCTCACAGTAAAGTGGTTTTCTTATGTTTAAATGGCATTTCCTATATTTGAATTGATGGCAAATGCCTCTTGTCCTTGCTCTGTGCATCACAGAGTCTGACTCCACCTTCTTTACCTTCCAGGTACCAATACACATCACTAAAATCCCTTGAGCTGTCTCTTTCAGACGCTGAACAACCCAATCTCCCTCAGCCCAGCCCTGCATGTCAGATGCTCCAAGCCCAGAACCACCTTCCTGGCCCTTCACTGGACTTGCTTCAGTATGTCCACATCCTTCTTGGGCACAGCAAATTTTATTTATATATAGATATAAACCAAAATATGGTAGCAAGTAGATTAGGGTACTATATTGTATCTTCCAGCAGAATTCAGGCTCTGCAGTTCTTGAATTCATAAGAACTTTCTGGAGTAGCTTTAAAACAACAGCTAAATTGCACAGAAAATATTGGGGTTTTTTTAAGCTATTCTTAACCTACAAGGTTGGATTTCTAATGACCTTACTGAAAGACAAACAATCCCACTCCAGAAGGGCCCTCGTTATTTGACATTCTTAAACAAAACTCAGGTAGCCTTTGTCCATTTCTGTACTCTCATTAGAGAAACTGCCTTGCTATATCCTCTTGTTTAAAATAAAAAGCATTGTTACATCTTGAAGTAATCTAATACAGAATTGTGAAAATAAATAATTAAATGAGTAAGGCAAAACACTTTCTGAATATCTATCCTTGCCTTGTGGAAATGACATTTATTTCAGCTGACTGAATTTTTAGGAAAAAAAAATTCACAAGGAAGAAAAAAGGATGTATTCATAAGCATTCAACACAAACCACCACAGATTAAAACTGTTTGAGACTGACAAGAAAAAAAAGGGTGAGCACACTGACAGCCACTAAATCACGCTGCCAACATCCCACAGAATTCTTCCCTATTAGAGTACTTCAATTTAATGAAGTTGCAACTGCAGCCACAGTTCTGAAGAGGGTATAAGCTCAGCTTAGTGCTGGGCTGACAGGCTGTGCAGCATTCCTTCCTACACAATTTAAACATTTCAATAACACTTCAGCTAAAAGCAGGTCTCTAGTGATTGTACTGTTGCTGAGTTGGAGCTAAATTTAAATAGATAAAGAATTAAGCTACAATGACCCAGAAGATTAGCTTTTTAGTTGAAAGCTGAAGCCACAAATTTCAGTTTCCTAGAGGAGAAACTCCCAGGAGGGTTTGGTAAACAATCTGGCCCCTCAAGACACTCACATAAAAGTACTTCAGAATTAGGGATCTCTTCAGTCTCCAGTTTCAGCAGCTATCAACCAGTTGCACTGACCTACCCCATGGGTTTCAAGAGCACTACTTCTGCGTGGGTTATTATCAACCCTCAGGCAAGACTGCCACCACCAATATATCACAGGATTATGTAGAGCCTCTCTGAAAACATCCTGCCCAAGCAAACAAGAATAGGGAGATGAGAAAAACGCAGGCCAGGACTGCCCTGAGAACCCAGCCACATCCCAGAAGGACCCATCTGTGGTGCAGATACAGATGCTGCTGGATCAGCAGGGGTTCACCAGAGACTCGCTCAGGGCTAGGCAGACACCCTGCACAGAGTGTAGCAGATTGCAGCCACCCTTCCTCTAAAGGCAGGAAGATTACACATTCAGGTCTGGAACAAGCAGTTCTTAGTAACATAATGGATGTTCTATCAGACAAGAAAGTAGAAGAAGAAAAAATCCCTGCAGGATGCATCTGATCCATGGCTATTAAATCTCCCTGTCAGTCCTATGCATAACTATTTTCTGGCTTCAAGAAATGCAGCCAAGGGACTGGCACAGGACTTGTGTTTAACTTGCTCTTCTTTCCAGTGTTGATTTTCTGGAATAGGAGAGTTTCATTATTAATCTTTTTTTAAATTTAACTGAAGTTTGTGACAGACTGCATCACCTCGTAACCAGGCAGGCAAGGTGTGCACACACTACTGACAGTTTATGGCAAACTAACACATTTCCTACATATGGGAGAGTGACAGAGGCTGAGGAAGTTACCAAAGCTAAACTGCAAGAAGAACAGTTCACTTTATTTTTTAAATATCATTCTTATTTTTCTTGTCAATATGAACGCCTGAGGAAAAGTACTGCTAGCCACAATTATTTTTCATCTCCACTTAACTTACTCTGTGGGCTTACACTGCCATGGGCAACTTCAGATAAAAAGTTTTCTATCTCCTGAATACAAAATACTTAGAAAAGTTCATTTTGTTGTTTCATTTCAACACAGCATGTACTTAAGTGTTGTCTTCTGCCTCTAACCCAATAAATTGCCAGTGCAATGCAAGCCTTATCATATATGTATATATCACTTTCTGAATAACCTATAACATCAACGAGGTCAGCACAGGGAAGAATTAAATGCAGTTTATTTTTCAAGAAGTTTCTGATCCAGACATTCCTACTCTGTTTTCAAGTGTGCCTCTGTAAAAATACAACTTCACAAGATGTCTGAAAAGAACTATCCTGAATTTTGGGGCTATGCATTTGTAAGTGACCTCAATATAACACTCTTATATCAAATACAACTACAGTAACACATACATTAGTAGCATAAAGTTAGCTGATCTGCCTTAACTCATTCTGCTCTGGCTCACTATACCTCCTCAAACTCATTTTTGCCAAGTCAGCTTTATTGTGTAAAAGCTGATCTGTATTTTTATTAGAACTCCCAATTCCTGCAGTCAAGAGATTAATGTTACTTAATGTTTCGATACTTTTAACAACACAAGTGTGAGAAAAGAACTAAAGAATAATGCTCTGCTACAAAATGAGAGGAGGAAAAGAAATTAAATAAGGAAGAATGGCTTTAGAAATTTAAAAGTGACTTCATAGATTTGAGTCTATTTGGGGAACTGCATATACTCTGCTTCCGTAGTACGGATTATGGGCTAGAACATTTCATGTTCCTATCCTGCCAATATTGAAGGACGGCAAACACACCACTTGGATCATCATATTTTTAACCACTGTAGCAGTCCATTTATCATTTGTAAGAGTTCAGGTCAACACACCATCAGTAAGCTGGCATTGTAAGAGATCACAGTCTTCTGACAAGAGAATGTTCCAGTGTAAATTACATTCTTAATGCTTCATGACTGTTTTGCAGAGTTAGCTATAAACTAGAAGCAGCAAAGACTGCATGGAGCCTTAACTGTGAAAAAAAAATGTTCAACATGCCTGCTATATCAGCTTTGTATTTGTCAGAATTAACAAGAACACATCAGTTATTTTAAAGACCTGAAAAGTACAGTACTCAGAGTAGTAACATCTCAGTCCACACACACACAAGTATCAAGCAGAAAATGAAATAGGAACCAACATTTTTAAAGTCATCTAGGAGTGCAGCACTTCAGCAGGGAAGGACCACAGCTGTATAGAGAAGCTTATACCTACATCAGAACCACTACTACTCCCCACAAAGAAAGACACCCTGTTTAACGCCCACAAGGGGCCTCAAGGACTCGAGGAGGAAGGGAGCAGACTGCCAGACCAGATCACACCACTCACCACATCTTCCCTGCCCACACTGAAGAAACTAAGGAAGTTTGCTAGATCTAAAGCCCACTGTCAATCTATTCTGACAAAGCAGATCTGTGGACACCAGGCTAGGTTTCCTTAAGTCTAAGTTAATCAAGCTTTACAATCCATATGAGGGACACACAAGCCTCACATTACACCCAGAAAAAAAAAAAAAAAAAGGTTAAATTACTACCAAAATTTAACTAAAGGTTAAATGACTACTAGGTCAAACCTGCCTATGTAGTTGTTGGGTTTTTTTTAATAAACAGCATATG